GATATCATCAGTTTACGGAAGAGCTATTTAAATAATTTTACAACATTAGGAATGTTTTTTTACAGTCAGGTAGGAATACGCAACAAGTCACAGCACCAGAGAATAAGAAAAATAAATCTATTAGTTTTATCACATACTAATTTATTTACAAACAGTGATTACGAAAGATGTACTCTTTATATTAAAAAATTTCAGATACGTTTGTTCGAATATTTCTATCATTTTTGGAATATTTTTATTTCTTGTATTCTTGAGACGCAAGCTAGCACTGACGCTTTTTTAAATAATATTGCGGTGTTTTCTGAAAGGTCTACGGCTAGAGACCAATATTGCTGTAGAGAACGCGACATCTACGTATCAACTAAGAACATGAACTTGTAAGTTTGAATATCTTCTTAGTGTTACAGTATGCACGGTTTTAAATTAAAATTCTTGAAAAATACAGAGCAGAATTTGAACATTAAATTGTGCTGAAACAAACTCTTCCGTAATGCATTTTATTTGCAAGGAAACATACGGAATATTTTATTTTGAAGAAATTTATATTTTTATGCGGATTGAAATTATTAAAGGCACCTCTAGGTAAGCTAAGATTCATTGTAGAAAGATATTACCAGTCGCAAGCAAGCCTTTGCAGACTCTCTGGGTAGACTATATCATGCAATTTTTAACCTTGTGAATAATAGGTACTCTATGCATTTCAAGTATTTCATGCATCATAAGTAATTCGTGCATTGGAGATTGTGTATGACGTTCTTTGACGTATGATTTTTTGAAAGAATGGAATCGTTATATAAACTTTATAAAATCATAGCCAGCTGCTTGAGACCAGCACAGTATAAAACGAAACAGTCAACTGCAAATTAAGTTATCACTAAATGAAGAAAAACAAGTACGTAACGAATTGTAGAGATGTGATCATGATACCGAATGTGACGTCAGAAGAACCCTGAACATTTATATACAATTATAATTAACGGTACAGCAAGAACTTAACGAGTATTTAAATATTATAGTCTTCAAATAAATTGAAGAGACATATTAAAAGAATGTAGACGATAAAGAATGGCTGCATTTAAAGATGTACAATAATTTGCTGACCTTTATACCCAGGCACGGGTTGCCTGAGCGAGTACGCTAGGATACACGGAGCACTAGCCCTGATCCCAGAACTTCCCCATACCCAACCATATCCTTTGACCTGCAAAATTGGCTAGCCATTCATGATAGAACTACTGGGTGAAATTTAGAATACACATAGTACGACGCGATATTTTGTAACAGATATTTTGAAGTGAAGGGAATGCTGGAGCTTTTTTGGAGAGCAGTGGGATACGACAATATTCAGCAGCTGATGATACCCCTTCTCTGGCATTCAAATTGAAATTTCTGATCCACCTCCGAAACCTGACCTACATCACATTGTATTCTCGTCCATAGCAACCATAGTAAGTTGCTTCTTTACAAACATCATTTTGTAAATTTTAAAAATTTTGTGTCAAGCGGATTGCTTTTAAATCTCAAATTTGTTTCCAATTTATTCCTTTCTACTGAAGATATTTCGATTGAATAAGTGTTGTTGCAACTATTGGTAGCTCTGCTAGAGTCTCAGGCCAATAGAAAGTTGCGATGCAAGTTGCGTTCTTGATTGTACTGTGTTTACATTTTATTATCCATGCGATGATGACTGTTCAGGGTTTTCGCGTAGTCACTGTCCGAGTTTACAGCTGTATTTCCGTAAGAAACATTTTATCATATAAATATTTAATAGAAAAAAATTGTGGTACTAAAACAGCACGTGCTTTCTTGTCCTTATCTTTATGCAAAGTTACGTGAATAGTACTCACATTTTCGAAAATTTGTACGTGACCGTATTTTGATATCTACCTTTAAGGAACTGATTTTCATTAATTGAAAATCTCTATCTTTAATTTTTTAGCTGTAGGAAGACTCCGAATCAATGTTGCACTTTTTGAAAGTTTCGAAAAATCACGGTTTTTAACGAGTATTAGACCTGCACTATTCTCTTAAACGTCCTTCATACTATCCAACAGCAAAAAATGATACAAAACTATGGAGCCATTTTTTTGAAAATTTTGAAAATTTTCCAGTTGCTTCATGGTACACCCCCCCAAAGTAGTACCCGCAAAACTAAAATATCAGTTTCAAATTTCAAGCGCCGTGACATCAGCTAGATCTATAGCGCAATATCGATTTTGGACAAAACCGGCTGAACAGTTTACCCGCTAGAGTTGTTCACAGATAGGCGACAAACGAATGTTTTGCCGTCATTATATTTTTCGGTATACAGACCAAAAATATGGATTCTAGTTATAGCACGCCGCAAAGAATTTTCCCCTTTTAATTTAAAAACTGGATTTTTCCAAGGTTTTGTTACCAGATCCCTGTAATAAGAGTTTTTCTGCTGAAAATCCACCTTTTTTTCGCGCAGCATTACATAACGTAAGTAAAAAAACTACGTTAGATAGAAATCTAATATTTTCAGATTAGATTTAAGACACTATTTACAATAATGTAGAGTACAATAAGTATCCTAGATTCAAAACGAAAAGAAATATAATGACTTAAACGTTTAAGAAATATTCGTTTCTTAAGCACATATTAAAAAAAACAAATTTGCCAAATATTATTACTGTAAATTATTTTATAGTAGTCTTATATTTATATAGTTATGTGGTCTAAAAGCCTGTCAAATCTGATTTATTTACTTGCTATAGTTTCAGAGAACATAAAGTAAGTTGATTAAAGAGCAAAATAATACAACAAAATGTCATAATAAACTAAAATATAAATAAAAAATACAGTAAAGATATTAAAGGGAAACGTATTAAATTATTGAGAATAACTTATTTATATTCTGACAATTTTTTTAGAAATTGGGGCTTGAAAATATTTAATTATGATCACCGTGTTCACATTCATGTGCCCTTAAATATTTATTATTTAAGAAATAAAATAAAACAAAAGTTCTCGCTTGATATTGATTATATTGTGCGCAAAAAAACTAAACTGTCAGATGAAATGGTCTCATATGTATTAAATGAAAAATTTTGTCTTCAGAGTATCCATGTATGTTAAGCCCATTTATCTTTCTAACCATTTTTTTGACTAATAAAACACATCTAAAATGATGAAGTTGTATAAAATATTGATTTTCAAGACAAAAATTATGAAATGAAATGCTGCTGGTGTCAGCATGACACCGGAGGGCGTTCTAGTGTGAAAATACTGCTCGCACATCGAATTTATTGGAGGGGACAGAAAAGCATACGTCTGATCGGAGCACCATGCCTCTAGAATTCCAGAGGGCTGTAGAAAAGTTCACATTTCTCGTTTATCATTTAGGAAACTTGCAACCGAGCAGTGGTTCAGTGCGGAGCGCTCTATCGAGAAGTCTGGATTCGATTCCCCGGGCGGACATCCTGACCGGGGTTTTCGTGGTTTCCCTCGGTCATAAGGCGAATGCTGAGATGGTTCCAAATGTCCACGATCCTTTTCATCATATCCTGATCAGCTCCTATTTAATAATTAATAATAATAATAATAATATATAATAATAATAATAATAATTGAATTAATAAAATAATAATAATAATAATAATAATGATAATTCACAGCGGACAAAAGTTGCTCAAGAGCGTGGTCTCCTGGGTAACGCTAAATGAGCAACAGTGATTCGCCATCTACGCACTTGACCATTGCGGGCGTGCGGATCCCTACAAGCTGAGGGGAAAGTCTGCGCGACTATATTGGTCGGCGCGTCACCAAATGGCTAACATGCCAAGGGCGGGCGGTGGCTGAGAACAGTATTTAAGGAAACTTGTCCGACAGGAATCGCTTTTCTGGTTACTGCGGGAAGTGAGGCAGTAATGGCAGTGCCGCCGCATGGCAGTGAGGCAGTAATGGCAACGCAGCCACCGATGACTGGCTGCGTTGCTCCGGCAAGTCATGGAGGTGGTTAATCGTCAAGTGTTAGAACCTGTGTGATTGGGAATGAGAATGTGAGAATGGGTAGGATTGAAAATGGACCATGAGGAAGACATTTAAATGAGGGTCTCCCATTTCGTAACAACGTAAGACCGTCACTTACATTTCAAGTACAGTAGGTTAGTTTTGAATATTTTTCCTGTTTATGTTTTTCTCGCATACGTATTACAAGGAAAGAATTTTAATGCTGATAAACATGAATGTTGAAATTTTTATGAAATTACATTTACAGGTTTGAATATGTTATTATACAAGGGACTTTCCATACAACATAATACACAAATTTTGTTAAATATAAAACAATTCCAGTACAGAAATATGATCAAATCTGTATGCACAGAGAATAGTAATTGAGTAGTTATTGAATTGTCCCTAAATTGTAATTCTCCCTTATGTTATTAGTCTTCGAGTTTTAAAATTGAACGACATAACACACGTTTTTTTCTATTTCCTGTATGGAGGATTTGTAGAACTTTTCTAATGTTTTTACAGTCACACATCACACATATCTTTTCAGGTACTTCTCCCTCATACGTTGCGTACTGTTTTTTCTGTTCATTGACTAAATAAATCAAATCGAGTTAAATTTTCGGCAAGCGCTCAAAATTTTACGGTTAGTCCCAAATTTCCAAGCTATTTTTAATCGACATTGATTTTTGTGGGTAGTATGTTTCCTGCACAACTTCATTCAATTACAGATCTTTAAAAGATGTGAAATACTTTTTTAAAATATGAGTAATTGTTGACTAATATCACTAAGTGCAGGGAAAGTTTCCATATTTCCACGTTTTCATTAGTTTTAAAAATTACGTTTATGTGCAAATATCGAGTCAAAAACTGTTTAATTGTGCTGTCAATTCCAAAACAAGAAAGTACATTTTCTGCGTTTCATCACATTATACATTACTAATCATAAGAGAAAAATTACGCAGAACTGGCCTAAACTACGCAGAACTGGCCTAACTAACAAATAGTTAAGAAAAACTACTTACTGGTTTCCTGAGTAGTTGTCTCGTACTTTCCGATGTAATCTAAGATAGAATGTGATAAAATCTGATAATATCACTTGGTGCTATTCTTCCTTTCTGGATACTTCTCAGGTTAGATCACACTGATGTAGATAATGCGTATATCACAAACAATGATTTAAAAAGAAACAGCTTCTGAATCTTCGAGGCTGCTGCAGATAGGTGCGCAAAATGAGAACTGCTTCAGGAGGAAACAAGACCAGCACTGCTGACCACCTGCAACTACCGTTATAGCTTGAAAAACCTGTCGCTTCGTTGCGAAGCGGACAGCGGAAGAATTTTTTACCTGTTATGTTGGTAGTATCGTGTCAATAAGAGGGAGTAAACATTTATTTAATGGTTAGAGGTCGACTTGTCACACACTGGCAGAACCAATGTTGACAGAAAGTGTTAATTCATGCAATGACATCATTTCACAATCAAGGTGTCCTTTGTCCTGTTAACTGAGCTTTACTGGACATTCCTCTTATATAAATCACATTGCATTGCTTTACTAGCTTACACTGACAAATCGATTTTCATTTACATTTTCATCCCAATTTTGAATTATACCTGTTCATTGCACGGAAAGATCACAGTAACACCCCCATACTTGTTTGAAAACTATTGTAGTAAATAAAAACCATCGCGAGCATTGTGTTGCAAAAGGTGGGATTATCCAGGCAGGCTCTAACGCATTCGAAGTATCAACAAGGGGAATACCATATTCGCAGAGAGCCGTGAATGAGTAGAGAAATTTTGAGTTCGCCGGGGAAATGGAAAAGGTTCGTACAGAAAAGTTACTGAAGTCCTGCGGAACAGTGACGTAGCTATGTTCTTGGAGTGTCCGTTGCACAAGTAGTAATGGGCCCCGATCTGAGATTGCCAAATGTAAAATGTGTAATTTTGTAATTGACATAGTGGACATAGTAATAGATTATATTGTAAATTAATCCATGTATAAATAATTAAGCATAGTACGTAATACATGGTTTTATAAATGTGAAGAAGAAGGCTATCAAATACAAATGAGAAGTTAATTCTATGATTTAGCTTTTTATTAGTAAACAAGGAAGTAGATCTTAATTATAATGACAGGCGGTGTTATTAAGAATTTAAGCTAATATTATCAGACTAAATGAATAAGGTTATTTTCAAAAAAAAGTTGAGTGTGTATGAATTTTACTATTTATTAAATGAAAATAGATGAGTATTACTTTCTCGCTACGGAGTAGAAAGTTATGTAATGCTGCGCAAATAAAACGCGAAATTTCGGCAGAAAAACGTATTACAGGCCCTTGTAACGGAAAAGTTTCTAATTTAGAAAACAATCCTCTAACAGCGTTGTAGCCAGAACGCATTTCGTGGGTCCTTTATACCCAAAAATCGAATGACGGTAAAACGTCTGTATGTGTGTGGACAGTGCTAACGGCTAAACCGTTCTCCAACTTTCTCCAAAATTGATATTCCTGATTCGATCTGGCTGATGTCACGGCCCCTGGAATTTGAAATCGATATTTTAATTTTAGAGGGTTCTTTACATTTATCGCCATTCTGTAGGCAACACAGTGCGTTCTGTTTTAGCACCACGTTATTTAATTACGTTCCTAGTGTACATAGAGACATTATTTATGCAGTAAACGTAAAATGATTATCTCCTCAGGGAGTAAGTTCAAGTTTTTCAAAATCGTTTTCAAAGAAACACTTATTGTCAATTACGAACATGCTCTCAAATTTCCCAACTGTATAATGCAAAGTCCAAAAAATCTTTCTATGTTTCAAACAGTTGAACAAAGAAATGCCTTACTTCCCGGTTGACGTCTACTGCATCTTTAAGAACTCCATTAACATTTTGACAGGCGTTATGCCAGAGGGTGATGACGGCTCTGTGTAGACACAAGTATATCCCAAGCATTTGACACTGTTCCTCACGCGGCGATTCGGTGGGCTCTATCCAGGAAAGGGCTCCCTGACGCCTTTACCGTACTTGTAATGGACTCTTACGCTGTTTCCACTGTCATTCAGCGAATTCTCACCGTCATTCAACACCTCGAATTGATGTGGGGTGCCTACTCGTAGAGGAATAAAACAGGAGGACCCCATGTCCCCACTCCTTTTTTACTTTCTCGTATACATACGTATATACGGAATAATATACCTAGTATAGGAAAAGTTACGTAATGTTACGGAAAATAGATTTCGAGATTTCAACGGAAATACACGTTTGTGGTTTCCTGATACCGAAAAAGGGTATCCAAAGCGACCGTCTGTCCGTCTGTGTGGTGTCTGTGAACAATACTAGCGCCTAAACGATGCGTAGAATTTTTTTCCAAAATGAAGAAACCCGTGTCAATCTGGCTCGAGTCAAAATTTTGAGATTTTGAAAAACATTCTCCAAAATTTGAGTGTACTTTACATGAAGCTCTTAAGACATTTTCAATATTTCTCAAAAATTCATATTTTTTCTCTAAATTTCTTGTAAGAATAAAGTAAAATACACTTCTAAAGGTGGCATAAGTTCGATTTTCACGGTTAACTTTGAATTTTTAAAAATTTCAAATGTATGAATTTTTTTGTTGCCATCTTACATCTACAAAATTAAAGATATATATTTTTCTTCATATACTATTTGTTCTCCACAGTGACTTCTTTATTAAGGTCATGCACATTGTTTTTGGAAATTTTAGTTTTCTTTGCACAATACTGCGTGAAATGTGTGCAATTAAAAAAATGATTTTCTCAAAAAACGCTCCAAATTTTTTCTTTAAACTTTTGGTAGGGTTATTGCTAGATGTACTCTAAAAGATGACATAAACGCAATATTCCTCTGTTCTGTTGGTTTTTCCAAAATTACAAAAATATAATTTTATTTGAGTTGGTTCTCATGTCGTTAATATTTATTTTAGGCGATAGATGGCAGCTGGCAAGAGTTTGCGGCAAGTCTGGGTACCTAGCTGAGACCAAAGGAAATAGAAAACTAATACGGAAAAGTCTGTGCCATTCTGTAGCACCATTAGTGAATCTCATTATGGAGTGCCTGCTTGAGAAATTGTAAAATATGCCAGTGTTCACGCTCTTGGAAAGGAGTGTATCCGTGTCAGCATTTTTTGACGACCTAGTGCTGTTAGAAAAGGGATCCCCAGGATCCCCCAGCCCCAAGATCTCAAAACTTGGTTGAATTGTAGTGGAATTTCTTGGTGTCCTGGAAATGACATTGTCCCTCGCGAAATGTTCATCATTTCAAATTAAAACATTTATCGATCTTGGTACGGTGAGGACCCCTGTCTGGAAATGTTGGGAGAGATAATTCCTCTGGTCAGTAATGATTATAAGCTAACATACCTGGAAGTGAACTACTATAACTGAAACGGCTTTCCATCTCAAGTATCTATATAAAATTTGATGTAAGCAGTTATGAGGCTTCAGAATGCGCATTTAGAGCCCATTAAGAAGGTATCATTACTTGTGGTTAATGTGGGTATAAACGATCCGATTGGAAATGCCCTTTTGAAAGATTATACTATTCTAAAACCTGGTATTTTTATCACTGCACTCCAAATGAGATCTAATACCGCTAACAATATTTTTTCTTAGTAGATGAAGATCCAGAGAGGATGTATCTTGCAGAAAGTGCAAAACAGCGGTAGAAACCATGAATCACATCCTCGGCCAGTGCATGTTTACGAAGCCAGCAAAAATAAAGCGTAATGACGAGATCAAGAACTTCATAGAAGGGAAGATGCTCCGGAAATCCGACACGGTGGGTCCACGGAAGCCACGTACTCCGTTGGCGAAGGGGTTATGCTCAAACCTGACCTGGTAATAAAAAGGCGGGAAGGGGTCCATGTAGTCGATGTGACTGTCTTCCACGAGGTTGGAGAGGAGGAAGACAGGGGAAGAAAAGGTGGTAAAATACCAGCCAGCCATCCCTCTGGCAGCCCAACTTCACCAACGCCGGAATCCTGCCAGTGGTGGTTGGAACCTCTGGGGCTATGCCATGATTCACAGTCAGCGCCCTCAAGACCCTGGGGATCACGTCTCTACTATCTCGTTAATTGCTGTCATAAGCTCTACACACAATTTGTAAATGACGATGGAGCAACTCAGCATTGCTGATAGTAAACGCATAAAAGGAACTTCTTGGTCCCGTGGGACAGTGTAGGGAACCCAGGGGATCTTAAAATTCCTAGTGCAGTGTTCGGCGCCTTTCCAATGGGCGCGCACGCGGCGGGGCGGCGCGCGTATCGGGGCTCGCCGCTTCAACCTCCGGGACCGGAGGCGAAGGGCGAGTCACCGGCGTCACGTGGCAAGAGCAGGGCAGCCTCAGTCAACCGCCGGCCCGTCAGGCAGGCAGTCTACGCCAGCCAGGAGATAGTCGAGCAGTCCACTCGCCGAGTCAACACGTGACTCTACTACGTGAGGATCGGCGCGCGGTGTGGACCAGGGCCCGGCAACTCTCCATCAAAATTGGGGACAAAGCTAGAGGTTCTAACTACAGGATGTGCTAGTGTCGCCGGATACAGCTGCCGGTAAGGATCTCCGACTTTCGCACATGAAAATTGGTCAAGAAATACGAATACAATTTGATTATGAGCGATTTATGAAATAAATTACAAATGAAGTTAAACACTATGTGTTTATCTTCTAAAATTCATTTATTCATAATAATACTCGCATGAAAGAAACGGTAGCGCGAACAGCGGCGCGTTCTTTTGCATCAAGCGCGTGTGTTTGCGTCCCGAGAACCCACGCGCGTTTTAAATAACGTTGGTAGCAGTCCGTATTGTAGTTCGTGTAAGAAGGTGATGCTCTAGAGCGCGCCACTGTAATGGTCCCCACCGCGTTATACGGGAGTTCTAGGGCCCTGGTGTGGACCGCGGCGGGGCCACCAATCCGTGCCGGAGGGCGCGTGGGGGCCGCAGCGAGAGGCGACTCCGTGGAGGGGAGAGAGCCGGTCGCTTGCTCTACCGGAGGCCCCACCCTGGGGGCAGCGGTCACTGCTGATGTAGCAAAGACAAACACACGGGTGAGGCGTCCGCACTACAAGCACTCTCTTGAGTGAGAGTTGGACATTGTTGACTCAAAAGATTTCTAATTGTAAAGCTTATGTCGGGTGAATTTTAATTTAAACATTAAATTTATTGTACCAACATGTTCATCTCGTTTTAATGTACAAGATACATTACGTTTCATGTAAGCCGTACATTATTTATACAATGATTTAAATATTAAATATAATGTACAAGTATATTAATCCATTTTAATGTACAGTCGCCCATTAAATCTATTTTAATTTTAATTTAAGTATTAAATGTAATGTACAAGTATATTAATCTCATTTTAATGTAGAAGGTACATTAAGATTCGTGTACAGTCGTACATTAATCTACATTAAATTTAATGTAGTTTCTAACAGTGTACGGTCAAGCTATGCGGCCTCATGAAACAGGGATATGAACAGTTGAGCTCAAGAGCTTGGCCACTGAAGCTCTTGGTTCGAAACGTGCTTAAAGCATGAATATCTTAAGTTACGTTCGAGGTCTGAGGGAGTTTCTCTAGAATTACGTCTATATCCTAATCCTCCCATTATTTCTTCTCCTGATACGCAACTGGGTGCACAATCTGTGCATGTAATTGAAAATCTGGGTCCCAATACTCAGGGGAATGGTGCAAACACCGATGTGGAGACCAGGAATATCATGAGCAAATGTGTTAAGGCGCAGGAGTGAGTTACACCTTTGCTATGTTCGAGGGGCGTGTACGAGCTCTTATCAGAGAATATCCCCAGAGGTGCCGAAGGTACTGCTACAGGCCCTTTCATGTGTTTTAGGCTGGGGAAAGGGTGGGGCGAAACAGAAAATGTAGTATCACTGACGGTAGTTTGGAATATGAGGACGGTTCTCAATGACGTGCTTATGAGCCAGTGCTGGATTACCTATCAGGAGCGACTAGACACTGCCCTGGGGCCCCCGATGTTTAGGGGCCCTTGAAGGTTTAAATTGTTTTTTTTTCGTTAATCAAAAAACATTAAATTAACCTCAAATAAAATGAATGTGATATGAGAAGCATGCGCATTAAATTTTTTTCTATCATTGTAATGTAAGATAATAAAAAGTATATTTTGTAAACTAAATTGTAAAATCCAAGATATAATTTTATAATTAAATTTAAAAAATGATAGTAATTTTAATTAATATGCGAAAAGAACTATAGATGCTTTGCACTCTGAAATTAACTCATTAAGAAATGTGTTATTTTGCCTCCACTGCAGAACGGTGCGCAAAACGCTTCTTGGCAAAAGAAACAAAATTTCCTCTGATTTTTTTTCTGTTTCAAACTTATTGGCTGGCTTTCGCCGCACGTTGGGTACCCCAAATTTTGATGTGTCGCGATGATACACAATGATAGCGGTCTGGGAGGCAGATTTATAAAGATGCGAAAATTGTATATAATCTATAAAACAAGCTATCTATGAAATCTTTTCTTTGTGCTATTTTGTGAAATATGAGCAACTTTTTCAAAAACAGAGGGCCCCGTAACTTTTAATGGCATAAAGCCCCATATTTTCTCCATCCGGGACTGTTGTTGATAACGAAAGTGCCGCTCCCGAGGTCCGAAAGCAATTTCGATCCTTCCTGTACTGCTGCATCTGCCACTCTCAGAGGAGCAGTAGAGGCTAGTCCTGTCCGCCTTTCACACGCCAGCGGCGGCGGCGGCGGCGGCGCGCGCGCGGCGGCGGGCGGCGGCGGCGCGGCGGCGGCGGCGGCGGGCGGCGGGCGGCGGCGGCGGGGCGGCGGAGCAGGAAGAGACGCTAGACAGACAGACGCTCTGCGGGCGGCCGTGGCGCGGTGCGCGAGCTCGTGGCCTTGCCAGTACCTTGACGGCAGCGTGAGGCGGTCGCCTCCCACGCAAACTCGACACGCTAGGCCAAGGCCTCTACCTCCTCTTCTTTCCTCCTTTCCTTTTTACTCTCGCGTATACGTTCGTATATACGGAGTATAGGGACATTTTTGTAATGCTGCGGAAAATCGATTTCGAGATTTCAACGGAAATACAAGTTTGGGGTCCCCAGATACCGAAATAGTTTTTTTTTTTCAAAACATCCGTTGTCCGTCCGTCTTGCTGTCTGTGAACACTACTAGCGCCTAAACTATGCGTAGGTTTTTTTCTAAATTGAAGAAACCCCTGTCCATTTGGCCGGAATCGAAACTTAGAGATTTTGAAAAACATTCTTAAAATTTATTTGGTATTTTACGTGAAGCCCTCCGGACATTTTCAAAATCTTCTGAAAAAAGCTCCAAATTTTTTCTTTAAATTTCTTGTAAGAAGAGAGTAACATTACATTTATAATGTGGCATTTCTCATTTTTTCATGGTTAACTCTAAATTTTCGAAACTTTCAAAAGTTTGAATTTTTTTCAGTGTCTTCCTACAACAACAAAATTAAAGATTTTCCCTTACATATAATTTGCTTTCCATAGTAAGTTCTTTCATTAAAGTCATGTATATGTTTTTGAAAATTTTAGTGGTATTCGCGCAATATTGCGTGCAATGTGCGCAATTTAAAAAAAATTACAAAACAATTTTTTTTCAAAAACTGTTCCAAATTTTTTCTTTAAACTTTTGGTAGGGATAGTGCTAAATGTATTCTATAAGATGACATAAGCGCCATATTGTTTTATTCTTTTGTTTTTTTCAAACCTTACAAAAATGTATTTTTTTACTTGGCTTTCATGTCGTTAATATGGATACTACTTGTATGAAAGAGTAGGGGAGGTTGTTTATGATGTCCATTTCGTATGTGAGACTTTATAGTCTAGGTCTTTTGATCATTAATTTTAGAATGAATAGTATGGTTGTTAAGTGTGTAGGTCATTGGTCAGATTGCTCGCTTTCAATGACGTGACCTCGGGTTCGATTTCCGGTCAGGCAAAGTTGTAGGGTGCGTTTTCCCTGCAATATCCATTATATGTTGCTGTGCGACAATGATAAAATTCACTTCTAAGGTTGAGAAGACCAGAAAACGGCGTGCCAGCCACACGTAGTCCTCTTAGCCCAATGCAGCGAGGCCGGCACACGAGCCGGCGCGCCAAGTACAAACAGTATCGTCGTAGTGCATTGAATATTGATGTAAGGCATAGTTCAGTGCCGGGGTGTGCGAACCGGTATAGCGCCTGAGAACACTTCATTGTTGCTGGACATTTAATAGCAAACATAAATGCTTAGGTACGTGCAATTATATTGCAAATGATAGTGGATACTCTTTGGTGTATTGAAACACAGCGCCTTGTTTGTTCGTTGTCTTCTTGCAAAATAGTATTTAATGCTGTGACATGAAAATACAGCATAAACATCATTTTGTAATGCGATGTGACGTCACTAATAAAAGTATATTTTTCATGGTGAACATACACTTTCGAGGTTCTTAAAAGAATATTAACTTCATACATAGTGTTACGTTAAACCCTTTTAAAAATAGGGCGTATGATAGCTGGTACATGAAACCCAGTGAAGGAAAAAGGCTTTGGAAAATGCCATGGCGGCTTTGGTCACCTTTTAAAATGTGTCCAAGATTAAAAAATAAATTTGAACAATTGTATGCTTCATCTTGCCCAAAGTAATTGAAACCAGTAGAGGGTTAGCAATTTTACGTCCGATTCTCAACCGCAACTCTTCTGTAAAAATTCATTCCTCATTAACGTTTACAAATCTATTCTTCGTCCGATATTGACTTGCACCTACCCTGTATGGATTTCAGATGCCCTAACCACATTAAATAAGTTACAAATCTTTGAAAACAAAATCTTAAGAATAACAGTGAATGCACCCTGGTTTGTGAGCAATAAGACACTTCACAATGACCTTGCAATAGAACCGATTACTTCTTTTGTCACAAAACAGGCACATGATTTAAATTATTGAAGAAATTATGTACAAGGAGCAGTCGCTTACGAAACAGGAACTGATCAACCCACACTCTCCCGTCTAAGAAACAGACGCCCATTTCAAATTTTCCTTCAATATCCCTCCGACATTGGATAAGGTAAGGACATTTCTTGCATTTACCTGTCTCTCCCATCGTATTTCTTTCTAAACCCTTTATTCGTTCTCTAACGAATTTTCCTGGCAATAATCTTGGTTAAAGGTATAATATAAATTAATAACTATCAGAGAGTTGACAAGAAGTTACCCTAATATCATCGCTGATACAAAGTTGCTCGGTCACTCAACTAAAGAGCATTACGGCTGAACGTTGTACAGTCTGCCGGCGTAAAAAAAAATTTAATAGAAAAATAGGAGGTTCAAAATAATACATTATCTACGGATTTATTTTATTAACATTAACATGTAGCATATTTTTGTGTCATATATTGTAAAGTCCCTGAATTCAAATACAAACTATTCTAGTCGAAAAGAATTACTAGTAGAAAGGTTAACAATAATATCAGTTAGTTATTGAATTTATAAATTGTTAATAATTAAATATACGAATATATACGCATTAAATAGTTATTACAAGTAATAAATTCGAATTAAACAGTTTTCTTTAAACTTTTAAACTCATTAAACATTTCCAGAGCCGCTCCTCTTGTTGGGCCACGTGGGCCTTCGCCGAGGCGTGGAGCAGCGTTCCGGCCGAGTGGAGGCGAGGGGCTGTAGCCGTGTCGGCTGCAGGGTGCAATGAACTAATTACGGCCATCCATAAATCGCGATACGCCGCAAGGAAGGAGAGAAAATTGTGATCATGTGAAATGTAAAAGAAATTCTGAAGTAGATTCAGTTCCAAAATCCATTACATGTAATTGCAGAAAAAAACCATTAAAAATACAACGTTTTTGCTGTTTGTTAAGTTATATGTATTTGATACTGTAATACAATATTTTCATATAAATTACGATTTCTTTTATTAACTATAACTTATTAATGGTGTTAGTATGTGCAATTAAAAGTAGCGCTTAATACTGTGCTTCATTAGTGTAGCGTCCTAATCGTGAAATCCTAATTCTTGATTTACAGGGAAAAATGCTGCAATTGTGTAAAAATCGATATAGTAATTTACACCAAATAACTTTTTAGATAAAATATTATTGAAGTTATGGATATAATTAAGAACCTTCGCAAATCGGCAGATATTCTACCTCCAATTTTGGTTCATAGAAATTCTAGAATGAACAATTTAGAGTAATACTTCTCCAGGATCATAACATTTAGTATACAGAAGCGTTTAAGACTTGACTATTTCCACTGATTTTAGGTGCCAGTTCAGAAATGATACCTTTCAGTATACTCATGTTAGGCTCGAAAAGTCCTATGGTATTGGATAACTGAGCTCGAATGTGCTGGCACAAAAAAAGTTATTACGAAAGGTTACGTATCGGAAACCCAAGTTGGCGTGTTCAAACCCGACCAAACCCGTGGATTCTTAAGGGCGAAAAAATCCTTTATATACCTTCCTTCGGAGGGAAAGTAAAGCCAGTTGACCCATGTTCGTAGATTTACTTGCGTGTAAAAGATTCTCAAGATCAAATGACGCCTCTAGCTAAATTCAAATCGCCTGTTTCGTCGCTATGATTCGCCAAGAAATACCTCCTTTTTTCACTATAGTGGATGAAAGGAGCATAGCGAAATTTGCGTGGTCAGACTGAAGAGCGGGCCTGATGGCCTGAGTCTCGCCACATAAAATAAGGCATCAATTCAATTAAGAGTAACAGTACGAACATAAAGTCTATGCGTATTCTTAGGCGTCGATGTACTGTTTTTATAAAACGGGAATGACCTTAACAACACTTATACAGAGGCGCAGAAATATTTTTTTATTATAAAAAAGTAGTTTATTCACAAAAGAGTTACATGCTAACATTACGAAATCATATCTTAGCAAATAAATAAAATAAAGCAAAGATGAAAATAGTAAAGCTGGTCTCTAGATAGAGGTGACTGCACACATGTGGATCTGATCACACTCGCTCCTGCTTCCACTGCTACAAGCAGGGACAAAATACCTTCCTATCCTCCTTCCCCTTATCTGTACGTAGCGAATTATTTATAAAAGTGATATTGATTTTGTTGAGGACTAATTTTCAATCTGGATTATATTTTGGTACTGACTAATTTTGTACACGGACGTCTTGCATTGGGCTTCCGACTGGCTCCTCAGGAAGCGTAGTCGAGCGCAGCGTGTACGGCGGGCAGGGGTGCTTGCCCCGACCGCAACCTCATCCAAGTTGAAGCGACGCTCGGCGAAATGGCTTCGCCAACTTCTCCGTTCGCCAGGCCGCCCTGCCCCGCCCCGCCCCGCCCCGCGCGCCGCACGGGCCCCGATGCAGATCCGAAATTATTGCGCCCGCCCGCGCCCGAAATAGCCCCGCACCCCCGCTCGCGAATCCTAGACAGTTTCTGCACCCTCGAACGTTAAAGCACTATCGATGCACTTCTGCGCATATGCAGTTCAAGTTTCGCATAACTTTCGGGCACCTGCGCATGTCCACAAGATCGATTGTGCTGTCCGCGTTGACGTGCATAAACTCCCTAACACTAGGGAATTTCTGTACCCTCGAACGTTAAAGCACAATCGATCTGCTGCGCACGCGCAATGCAAGAGTCGCAACATTATCGTGCATCAGCGCTTGCGCAGAAGATCGATTGTGCGCCAACGATCGAAGGTGCACAAACTCCCTAACACCAGGAAGTTTGTGCACCTTCGGACGGCAAAGGACTAGCGCAGTTCAAGTTTGGCATCCCTATTGTGCATCTGCGCATGTGCACAAGATCGATAGCGCTGTCCGCTATGGCGCGCACAAACTCCCTATTAGTGATATATCGACAAGAAAATATCGATGTATCGAAACATCTATGATCAAAATCAAAACATCGATGATACATTGACCAAAAACCATCGATGTTTTTAAACATCGATATTTTAAAGTTGGCTTAGTAACGTCTAACAATAAATTCGTGCGCAACAATATTTTATTTTCCCTTGGCCATGCTTATTAATTTATAATCAACATTTATCTGAAAATAAAGTTACACATTTTTCATGTGCGAAATTCAGGAAAGGCGAAGCAAATATCAGGTCATTGGAATCATCTCGAGCAAGGAATGGTGGTCTGCTCGTTGAAGATAGAACAAACCACGTAGGTTTAAATCGAATACAAACAGATATTTAATTGTTATTTAACATTGTTATTTAACATTATTTACCATTTAGATTTTGTTAGTACCATCAGTTTATTTTTTAACTTTTACAAAATTGTGATTATGAGCAGCTTTTATCCTCGAACAGAACACTGAAAACGTAAAAACGTCGATCCCCAAACTTTGATGTTAATAATATCGATTACAATACATCGTTATTTACAAAATTTATGTTTTTATAGAAACATCGATACTTTGCAAAAACGTCGACATCGATGTCGCATCCCAAGGATCGATAGCGTCTCTGACAGTTCGAGGCATTGTTGCCACATCTTACTACTCGCATGACACCAACTACAAGATAGATAAATGAAATCTCAAAACGTGAACCTTTCCGACACGTCTTGATATCATGTTCACAACCTTGGCCACAGACGAACCTTATCGCCTCCGCGACTTCGTGAGAGTCAAATGTGAAAGTTGTAGGGGGGGGGGTCACAGACACAAAATAAATTTAAGACCGCAGAGAACAGATGTGGGGAAATTTTCTTTTACAAATCGAACGGTAAAAGAATGGAATGCATTGCCTTCAAAAACCCTTGAAACCTTTCCTTGTAGCGTACAACAGTTTAGGAAATTAATTTAGGGTATTACTAAATTAATGAGGAAATTAGCTGATAATAGTAGGTAATAGAGCGATGCGTCAGTAATATATTGTGAAGTGAGGTTGTCGTGCAGTGTAGAACAGAGAAATAATGAAGGACGTGATTAAAAGGTCATAGTGAAGTGTAGTGTAGTGAAGTGCAGTTGGAGAAAAATTTGTTGAGTTTTGTTGAGTTGAGTTGCTGAGTTTGATTATGATGTTTCTTTTTTTAAAGTAATTTTAAATGCTTTTTGAATTAGACAGTTTTATCTCATTATTATTTTATTGTTAATGTTATTTTTATTTTTATTAAAATTATTATTATTATTATTATTAAAATTAATAATAATAAAACTATTATATAATATGCATGTTGGCTGTATTATTTTATTTATGTAATTAGCTGTCACCGGGTTATGCCCATTTGCAGTTGAAATAAATTTATCTAAACGAGCGGCAACGCTGAACGCTGGCTGTGAGGAAGTAAACAAATCCTCGCACGCTGATTGGTTGATGACGCATCTCAGAACGTGGCGAGAGAACTGTCAGGGTCGCTTACACGCTGTCGATACTGTAATGGACGTGTCGCGAGACTGAGCCCTTGACTCCTTGCCACTTCTGTGTTACTTCATCGCCTTCATCTCACCTTGAAAGTGTAGGCTATTTTGCGGCTTTTTAAAGTTGATTTATACAGTTGGTGATTTCACACAGTTAAGATTAACTCAACTTTACATATGTGAGAAGGTTTAATAACTAACAGAAATTAAAAATTCAAATTATTACATTGATTGAGACTACCCATTAGAGGGAGTTTTACTTCTGAAAATTTCTTGAGAAAATGTGAAAAGCAAATTTATTTTGTATTCTGCTTGTATGTGAAGGGCTTTTTCCTAGTCTTTTTACTGAGAATGAATGGACTTGGGGTATATTTGAGGAGAAATTACTACCTAAAAAGGTGATACGATGATTTAGAGTCTCTAAGTTAAATTCTTTGTGAAGTTGTTTATTGGTGATATACAAGGGAATATTTGAAATAATTCTAAGGAATTGTTTTTGTGCCATTTGCAGTTTTCATTGGTTTGTTTTGTATGTGACATTATTTACATTTGGTTAGAATTGGATTCTATGTAAAGTAATATGTTAGTGCACATTTCTGCATAATTGGCAGATTTTACTTGTTGCTGCATATTCGTGTAATTATAAGCGCATATTTTGTATATTTTGTTAAAATAGAGACTTATCTCTAAAAGTTTCATCTTTTGAGAGACTTTTTTTATGTAATTTCTTCTTTTCTCTGGTTGATAAAATACGCAAAGTTCTTGATTTCACATTTTTTTTATCAAGCAAAAAAAGAAAAAAATGAAAAAGACATAGGTGAATACTTCCTTTAATTACTTCTCCCGCGTAGTAAGGTAGATTATATTATGCTTGCACAAACTTATATAATTTCATTGCTAGCATGCTTCTCCAGAATGTTATCAAGAAAGGTTTATACAAGAAATGAAATGCCTATTGTTAGTTTTATCGCATATTAAAGATTTTTTAGGTCATAAAAGCAAATTTTTAAAAGCATATTTGAAGGTTTTTTAAGGTATAAGAATCCCCTCCCTACACATCACACTTCTAATATATGTGTATTATTTATTATGTATCATATATATAATTTTTTATAAAGTACATTGTAAAATAAAATAAACTAGTAGAACTACCACAGCACATACTTTCTCGCATTAGTAACGGTTACTTAGTATTATAATAACGCGCTTTCAATTTATATTAACACATCTTAGCCATCACTTGTAAAACTCATCACTATCGTAGCGCATTTGGTGCAAAACAAATTCTTTTACACCTAATACAACAACACGAATCGGTAATCCAAAACTCCATTTCACACCGCCATAAGCATCGCTCAAGAATGAAAAGTGAATTGAATTGATGCCTTATTTTACGTGGCGAGAT